AAAACAGCCCTCCGTACTCAATACTTCAGCGCTTGGAATATTTCTCCGACTGGTTCCGTGCCAAGCGTACTGTTGCTCACTGTCTGAATCTGAAATGAAAACTTCGTAAAAGTAAACAAAGAGATTGTGAATCAGTAGCTGGTTCAGTGCAAGTCAAAGAAATTGAACAAGCAGAGATTGTAATCTTAAAGTTAGTTCAGGCAGAAGCATTCGGTGAAGAACTGAAAGTGCTTCAGTCCTTGAATCAAACAGGAACATTCAAGAAGGCAACTGTACGCAACAAATTTCTGAAATCAGTCAGTGCCTTGTATCGTCTGGATCCATTCCTGGACAGCAATGGGATCTTACGTGCTGGAGGACGGTTAAAACGTGCTCAGATTAGTGAAAACCTTAAGCACCCTGTTATCTTGCCAAAGAAGCACCACATAACAACACTTGTTATCCGCCATTGCCATGAACAAGTTCATCATCAGGGAAAAGGTCTAACACTCAATCAGATCAGATCAAGTGGATACTGGATCATAGGTTGTAGCTCAGGTGTGTCCTACTACATTTTGAAATGTGTTTAGTGTAGGAAACTCAGGAGCAAGGCTCAAGTCCAGAAGATGTCAAATCTTCCCATTGATAGGACAGAAGAAGCTCCTCCATTTTCATTCTGTGCAGTAGACTGTTTCGGACCCTTTTATATTAAGGAAGGAAGAAAGGAGTTAAAGCGATTCGGTGTTCTGTTCACATGCCTGTGTTGCCGAGCAATACACATAGAGACTGTTGTGTCAATGAGTACAGACTCATTTATCAACGCCCTAAGACGCTTTATGTCAGTGCGTGGTCCGATCCGTCAACTACGATGCGATCAAGGTACTAACCTTGTAGGGGCAAAGAACGAACTGTATGGTGTTCTAACAAATCTTGATCAAAGAAAATTGAGACAATTCCTATTGCAGAGAGACTGTGATTTCTTTGAGTTCAAGTTTAACCCACCATATGCAAGCCATATGGGTGGTGTCTGGGAGAGGCAGATTAGAACTGCAAGAAATGTCATATCTGCTTTACTTCATGACTTTGGATCACAGTTTGATGATGAATCCCTCCGTACTGTGATGTGTGAAACTGCCGCCATTGTAAACAGCAGACCCTTAACTGTTGACACTCTGTGCGATCCGTCCTCTCCAGAACCTCTGACACCAAATAACCTTCTTACCATGAAGTCTAAGGTAATCCTTCCGCCACCTGGAACATTCGTTAAGGAGGACATGTATTCCAGGAAGCGATGGCGCAGAGTTCAATACATCGCTAATGAATTCTGGAGTCGTTGGAGGAAAGAGTATCTGCAAAGTCTTCAGTTGCGGCAGAAGTGGACTGCCCCATGTAGAAATCTTTCTGTAAACGACATCGTGATAATCAAGGACAATATTCCAAGGAATCACTGGAAACTTGGACGCATCTCAGAAGTGTACCTTAGTGAAGATGGTCTAGTCAGAACTGTGAAAGTAGACTGTGGTGAATCAAACTTTGTGAGACCAGTTCACAAACTTGTGCTTCTCTTAGAAAAAGAGAACTAACTGTGTTCAAATGTGTGTAAATTCATTTGCAGTATGGTGTTCCGAACTGTGCTAAATTCATTTTCGGGTTCATTGAACTTTGTGAGTGATGATTACGATGATTCCGAATCCGATCCGAACTATAAACTTTGTCACAATGATGTGTATTTTCATGTTTATTATTTTGTATGATTATGTGTTTTGCCAAAAAGCATATTTTGTATGATTATGTGTTTTGCCAAAAAACATTAACCTTTGTTCAAATAAGGGTATGACACTTGCCTATCTGCACTTGCAATGCTGTATTGTTAGCTAAACCATTGTGTTTATATTTATACCACATCAGCATTTCTCGTTGTTTAATGTAAATTAGGTTAATACTAATTTCGGGTGGAGTGTAACGGTAGTCAGTCAGATATGGTAATAAGATATTTTAATAGCGCTTTATTGTTTCTTTTCATTAGTGGTGAGTATTTTTTAGCTCCCTTGGGGTATGGAGCGAGTACCATGCTTTCCGGTGAGAAAGGCTTTTGTTTATCCGCATTCCGTCAAGGTGTTTTACGGATTTCAGGGAACTGGACAACTGTGAGTTCTCTATATTAGAAATTCTGTAAAATAAACATCATGAATACTCAGTTTCTCCGTTCAGAGTTTTCGAAAACATTATGCCGAGTGTGTATTGGATGTCACAGAGTGTGTATTGGATGACGATGATTGTGTAATGGATATCACCTATTTTGTAACGGATATCACCGATTTTGTATTGATTGTCGCCGAGTGTGTGTTGTATGTCACCGAGTGTGTGTTGTATGTCACCGAGTGTGTGTTGTATGTCACCGAGTGTGTATTGGATGTCGCTGATTGTGTATTGGATGTCGCCAATTGCGTATTGGATGTCGCCGATTGTGTATTGGATATCACCTATTTTATATTGGATATCACCAGTTTGTATTGATTGTCGCCGAGTGTGTGTTGTATGTCACCGAGTGTGTGTTGTATGTCACCGAGTGTGTATTGGATGTCGCTGATTGTGTATTGGATGTCGCCAATTGCGTATTGGATGTCGCCGATTGTGTATTGGATATCACCTTTTTTATATTGGATATCACCAGTTTGTATTGATTGTCGCCGAGTGTGTGTTGTATGTCACCGAGTGTGTGTTGTGTGTCACCGAGTGTGTATTGGATGTCGCTGATTGTGTATTGGATATCACCTATTTTGTATTGATTGTCGCCGAGTGTGTGTTGTATGTTACCGAGTGTGTATTGGATGTCGCCGATTGTGTATTGGATATCACCTATTTTGTATTGGATATCACCTATTTTGTACTGGATATCACCTATTTTGTATTGATTGTCGCCGAGTGTGTGTTGTATGTTACCGAGAGTGTATTGGATGTCGCTGATTGTGTATTGGGTATCACCTAGTTTGTATTGGATATCACCTAGTTTGTATTGGATATCACCAGTTTGTATTGATTGTCGCCGAGTGTGTGTTGTATGTTACCGAGTGTGTATTGGATGTCGCTGATTATGTATTTGATGTCGCCGATTGTGTATTGGATATCACCTAGTTTGTATTGGATATCACCTATTTTGTATTGATTGTCGCCGAGTGTGTGTTGTATGTTACCGAGTGTGTATTGGATGTCGCTGATTATGTATTTGATGTCGCCGATTGTGTATTGGATATCACCTAGTTTGTATTGGATATCACCAGTTTGTATTGATTGTCGCCGAGTGTGTGTTGTATGTTACCGAGCGTGTATTGGATGTCGCTGATTGTGTATTGGAAACCAACGGGTGGATATCACTGATTGAAAACGGAGGTGTACTACACTGGTTAGCCGGCAATGTTTTGTATAGACACGCTGGGAGTTTGTGTGGTTTCACGTTGCTTGGTAAAGATATATTGTGTGATACGCGAATGTTATCATTATCGATTTGATAAAATAATATAGTTTGAGCACTTATTCTATTACACCAGGGGGTGTAATTAGTATAGAGTTCAAATATACTTAGTTGAATGGGAATACCGTTTGCACATCGCTTTTTCGATTCATACCTCAATGAACCGGGAATATAACAAGTAGCATCCTTCACAGAATATAGATATTATAATACACACGAATTCCTACACAAGTTGAGGATTTAAACAAAATCAGAATGATGCTTAAAATGAACTATTTATTAAAACATTATGTGGCCGAGGCAAAAGTCTAGAGTGTTCTGTGTGCGGGATAGGAGACTTACCCCCAAGGCCGTTCGATGGTTGAGCATAGCAGTGGTGTTTTTGGAAATCCCAGTTCTATTTATAGCAACACGTCAAACTGAAAGATACACCAGGGAATTAATCACGTGTTGATGTTTGAAGTGTCAGCCATGAGTGACTCTCAATATAGAGTGACGATTTGTTTTCTTTACAAGACATTTTCCCATGTTTAAATAAGCAACAACTACCCCTTGACACCAGCAGGTTCTGCATCACGTATACGATGTAATCGAGCGGTGGTGGTGTATATCCCAGCATACTTTGCCATCTCCACATTAAATGCTTACAGGTGTAACGTGGCATGTAAGCTCTAAATGGTATTTTAAATACATTATGACAGCCTGTGCACGTTTTGAAATCAATAACATTACATCAGATAGACTAAAACATAGAGGGAATGTTTAGTTCATTTAGTTACTTAACCGGAACAAACAGCTCGTGTTACGGAAAGTGCTGCCTCCCCATATTCGCACTTTCCCTCCCCCCAGATAGCCCCCAACTACCGGGTAAAAGAAAGTATACCATTCAACATTTTATTTGATGAAAATATTACAAATGTTATCAAAACGTTACTTGGCTGAAAACATTCGCCGAAACACTGTAGACTTGAGGTCCACAACACAGCTGTGATCCCCCTGTGACACACATCAGCATCTAAACCACTTCCTTGTTTGTTTCAATGTTAGCCATCATCGAACGTGGGGGTATGCGTTCTTTGCTCGGGGGTTTACATTGTAAAATGCTTACTATTATCATCGTAGTTGTTTTCTACACATCACGTGTCTATCTACATTCATAAGAAAACACACTGTGGTGTATGTTTTTGTCCCCGCCGCAGAAAACATGTTCACTCTCACGTTATAGCCAATCCTCAAATCTGCATACCATCATAAATTGTCTATGCTATTAATATAACAGACACATTCAGCATTACTCGTAAACCAATCCTCGACAAAGATCTGTCATTGTGACAGATTCAGGACAACCATTTTCTGAATGAATATTTAAATCCAAATGATAATCTCTCTCTCTCTCTCTCTCTCTCTCTCTCTCTCTCTCTCTCTCTCTCTCTCTCAGTTCATGACGTGTGTCTACACTCATATATGGGTGTCCATGTTTACGCAGTGTTACCGCCCACGCAATACTTTCGTGGGGATGCTCTTAGAACATGAGCTATTAATTTCTATTCAGAAAACCACCTGTATAACCTGAACGTCCGACCCAAAAACCCGGATCTATTTAATCGGGGAATCCCCTATGAAAGCTATAAAGTGACGAGTCACACGTGTTGAGCACACACAAATAAACCTCATCATGTCAAGCAAACCTCGTTGTTCGAGCTTGATCGATGACGAAAAATCAAAAATTGATATCTGGAGTGGGACACTCGGATCTCAGCCCGCGTCAACTCAGTGTAGTGGAGATAGTGGGTTCACAGAGGAGACTGTCCACAGACCAGGGACAATACGGGGAAAGCCTCGTCATGTCGGATCCATGAAATTTGTTTCAACGTCGACCTGTGACGTTGCGTCAGATCAATGTCTTCGGAAACGTTCCCTAAGATCAACGATGAGGCCAAGTAACATTGATAACGTCTGTCAACTAGAAGACCTTGGGGGTAAGAATTGTTTTTTCATACAACCCTTGACTTTAATGTTAAAACATATCCTCTTATAATCGCTGGTACTCCAATACACCGCCGGGCCTTGTAAGGTATCAATATGGCGGATTGATCTGATGTTGGAGCCGTGAAGAAATAGAGGCTGATGCCCAATAAACACAGGGCTTGCAATGTCCAAACACCGCACGGCTCGGGAGTCTATGAAAGAAAATACTGCCATAGCGTTAATCCCTTGATAATCTGGGCCGGGAGGGGAGGGAGCGGTGATTGACTTAAGGAGGGAGTGTCCCCGTCTAAAGTGAATGCATCACAACAACTGTAGTAAAACAAGTATGTTGATTTAGGATAAGTCAATAAACATCATCATCAACAGCAACAATAATCGCCAACATTATTATCATCATGAACATTTTCTCCATCATGATCACAATCACCGTCACCAAACAATGCCCCTGTCGGCGTATTCCTCGTCCTGTCTTAGATCGGTGCTAGATCAATCATTTCTCGTCATTCACTAACTCATTGATTATCGGTCCTTCATCGTCAAATCAATGAAACCGTTTTGACACTTCTATACAGGTGACAATGTTCACATACATCTTTAATGTACACATCTTCATCCCCTTGCATTAGTCGATTAGCTGAATCAATACTGTACAAACTTAAAACATACAGGCTTACAGGCGCTCTCAGTGCATTATCGGAAGTAGAAAGCAATGGGCGTGTTGTTTGGGGCAAGTCCATACCCTGGGTATCGTTAACATTTGACGATCAAGGAAACTGTTCTCTTACATTCCTATATAGGTAATGGGCCAGCCATTTTGTATTCTTCTGACATGGCGTAATGTATAGCCGTTTAAAATTAGCCACAGCTCACGGTGAAAGCTCGGGAAATCCCATGTTGTGTTAATGTTTGAAGGGAGAATTGTTTTCACGGTCCGATGCCCAGTTCATATCTAGGCATTGACGTTATTATGAGCTCAGCGTCTCAAAATGAGAGACTGTCTTTGTGAACTGTAACATCAGCTGTTAGAGTGATCTACGCAATAAAACGCAAGTTATTTGCGTAAAACAGGAGTAAAGTTACTGGACAGTAGCAAGAAACAAATATTTGATTCAATGCCGAATTTCAGTGTAGCTATGTGTCATATTATATACTACTAAAAAGGTTAAGGACAACCAGATGTTTTCATATTACTATAGTAAATCTAGCATGCCATGACAGATTAACTATTGTAACATGAAAGGATTTAGTGATCCTTAACTATTTTGAGTGGTATATATTGGTTGATAGGGGTATGGGTAGGGATTAAATGTACATTTATTATTCAGACAGTGGAACAGAGGAATGGGGTACAGTTACCCCATCTGGGGAAGAGATTTTGCCGGGGATGTCGATGACAACAGCGACCTCGAGCGTTGCTAGGCGACCATCCAATGGAAGCAGAGTTCCAGAAGAGTCCGATCATGCAGAATACTCGACCACGACATCAATGAGTATCACAGGTACATACCTCTGGTTATAACAAACTCGGATAAAGCGAATATTGTCCTGAACTTTGTGTATTCTTTTTTTACGGCAGTCAGCAATATTCCAACTATACGGCACTCTCTATACATTGGAGTCTGGCTCTGGCAGACCGGTGGTTGATAGCATGAACAACCTACCACGTACTACGCAGAAGCCGTGTCCTAGAGCCTGGCCACCAGATCCTCTGTTGTCAGATATTACGCACCCCGTTGTATCGATCTCGGCTGTGTCCAATACTCCGTTATGTCGAACTCACATGCAGTCCGTTCCCGGTGAAGCCTTGCAATATTTCTCACTTTTTCAACCTGAATGTGTCTGTTAAGTCGAGCTCAAAATTCTCGATCGTTAGGTTGCAATTCGATATTTCACAATTCAAACTTGATTAGCAAAGCTTCATTCCCTATTTCTGGATACAGGTATGTTTTGTGTCGATACACGATTATATCAAATGATATTCGTATCGCGGCACACAACATGCATATCATCCAAACCTCCATGACACGTAGAGCTATGCCATTCATACAACACATTACTGAAGACCGCAAGTATGTTCTCCGGAAGCGCTCGTTAAAACATCATCAAGATCGTAATTTTACGAATACAGAACAAACATGAAATAATATATGTGTCTTTATTAATATACTTACATCTTTTTTCATTATTAAGTTACAGAATTGACATCCCGATGTAGCACTGGCGGAAGGGAAATAGAGGAAGACATTATTGTTGCCGAGAGGGAGGAAGTGGTCCATTGCACCCCACGACCTGTCACCGATCTGGTCTACATAAACTCGTTCAATGGGATGCGGGTCAAAATAAAATGGCCGCTTTCTAATGGCCGTTTTTTGAGAGCAGTTGATGATACGGACCGGCCCGTCCTTATCACCGACATCTACCAAAGAGAGTTCAAAGAACAATATTACTTCATTAGAGAAATCAAAAACGCAATTGATACGACTAACCGAATGTATTGCTTAATGTGTTTCCGGTATGACTTCCAAGGTCAATCGTTCTACCTCACACCTGTCAATACCACAGGGGACTGCCAGTCACAGACATTTGGCTTCCAATTCACTCGTGCAAACAGAAGTGATGTTGTGACGGACGTAATTACAGAGACAAATAGTAAATATTGGTACGAATACCAGAAACCTGCGTTTGAAATGTTACGATCTTTGGCCTATAGTGACTTTTACCTCAGTATCGAGAAAGGACGGCGGGTCGTGCTTCGAAACACCCACGGACAAACTCCCAGAACGAGGAACTATGCCATTCAGATTTTCGAAGATCCACAACCTCTCCCAGAAAGAGGGTCTGTTTCGGAAAGGTTCTCTCGAGGTGTACAATCATTACTTTGTATACACTGACTGTCATTGTTTTTTTATTAACATGCCATTCATTTTCATTGTTATTATTTATTTGTCATTCTTGTGCATGTTTGCATGTGTGACAACAGTAAATATAAAATAAATAATCTGATGGGAATTTCGTTTGTGCTCAAATTCTGTGATATAACGTCTAAAGGATGAAACAATAGACATATGAACAATGTGTATAATATAGCTAAAACCTTTCAAAATGTGGAGAGAGAGAGTATGTGCATGTGTGTGTGTGTGTGTGTGTGTGTGTGTGTGTGTGTGTGTGTGTTAATGGCATAAATAACAAAATGGATCACAACAAATCAAGTGGAATATATTCAGGATCCCAAAATGGGCTTCGAAGATTCTTCAGTTTCGGTTGAGTAACAGCTTTCGCCAAATGCATGGGTTCAATGTTCTCCGCCCTGGTCATGCTGGAAAATTGCTCAAAGCGGCGTAGAATCGTACTGACTGTTGCCCATGATATCAACCACTGGTTTGTCTGGTCCAGACTCCATTATAAAAACCACTGTGGTACAGCTGGAATACTGATTGTCCACTCATTCAAGACGATCACATGGCAGGTCACATGTATATTACGACTACTACTACTACTACTACTACTACTACTACTACTACTACTACTGCCACTGCTACTAATACTACTACTACTACAACTACTACTACTACTACTACTACTACTACTACTACTACTACTACTACTACTGCCACTGCTACTACTGCCACTACTACTAAGAATATGGTTTACAACTTAATGCGTATTCTTAAAGTATCCAAAGAACAGGCGCCACTTTTATGTAAAAATAAACGATGGTCGCCCAGGTGCTATTTTGGAGACTTCCTTCTCCAAATCAGCATTTCCCCAGTCAACACATCTATTCTTTCTTTAAGCAAAGGACAACATATCGAACTCTAAAGGAACAGCGGGTATCAACATAAAATAACCTTGGTATATATGTCACATCTATTTTTACTTGTAGTACAGGTGTACTTTAGGCTATAAATTTTCCATGTTGAGTGAAAGGCCAATCGTTGCGTTATTTATAGGACTGCCCACGCAAGTGAAAGTAGGTTAATATCTGCTATAGACACTGCCTGTTGAGTGAATGGATGGTGTTTGACGCAGCTCAGCAGATTAACCGTATATATATATGGCTGTAGATAAGACGATCTCATGGTTAGGCCGAGATATTAACTTCACCCTTGAAATCAATATCAAAATGGGGCGAAACCGCATTATCGGTGGTTCGAGAAGGGAGCTAATTCCGTTTGCCTAATCGAAAGTTCGAAGTGGGTAAAAGTGGTATGACCGGTACACTAGCCGGACCACAACCTGTCTACATCTTCTCGTCATGATCCGTCATCGGAAACGGAATATCATCAAATCCGTATTGAATTACCCAAGTTCATCCTATTGTTACACTATCTGGTAATAAACAGTGTCACATGTAAAAGAAAACTGATCTAAATAACTATTCAAATATATTAATGAAACTGTTTTCGTTTGAATTATTCTGATATATCTTTACATGGTCATCAACTGTCGCGTGATGTGTTTTTTGATTGACATAAATATATGTAAGCATTGTTTGAAGGCTATTTAGATAATTCGATTTTGATACTAATATGTCTAACATACAAGATTCACCACCAACCCATCTTCTAGACAGAATTTGTCCACAATATTTTAAACAGTTTAATAACAGAAATATTGAAGATGAATTACATTATTTAATATCTTGTCCGTTTTATGAAGATTTAAGACTTTTTTTAAATATTGTATGTTATTAAATCCGACCTTTACAAATCGGACTGATTTCAACAAACTTGTCTCTATTTTAAAGTCATTTACATGTCTTTTAGCAATCACGCTTTACAAAATTTATAAACGAAAACCATTATTTGATTCATTATTTTATTAACGCATTCTGTATATTACCGTGTATAATAATGTTTTGTACTGGATAGGAACCATATTTTTATGTAATCAACTGACGGCCAAAATAAACTTCACTATAGATTTATATCACTCTAGTTTTAAAACCACAAAAGATCCATCAAGTAAAATGTACTGAAAAGATCAAAATCTTATACAGCATCCGATATTGGCATGGCAGTTGCCCAAATTGAAGTGGGCTAGAAAAGAAAAAGCTTTCAAACTAAAAGTCAAAGGACACACATATCTTAAATCACTCAATGTTCATTGACACGTCACATTAATAGTGTGTATGACCACCCCAGACTACAAAACACACAAAAACTCAAAGAAAAAGTCAGTCGTCCGATGACGTCACGTGGGGCACACCGCCATTCTTGCCGGTTGGCTGGAGGATGTGGCCGCTGCCGAAGACGACGATCCATGACATCCCAGAGGTGTTCTATGGGGAACATGTCTGGGGAGCGTGCAGACCACAGCAACACGATGACGTTGTTGGCTGCAAGGAAGTGTAGGATTCAGGCTGGATGGGGTCTGGCGTTGTCTAGCTGATAAAAGACACCACGTGGTAGCTGTATGTAGAAATGGTAGGACAATCGGACGAAGAATGTCATCCCCCACCCCCACCCCCACCCCCACCCCCACCCCCACCGCGGGAAACACGGTGTTTACCATCAGCTCTGAGCAGACAGAGCCGGCGACGACTCTCTGCGAGTAAGAGAGTAACATTGGTGCTAACGACGTACAGTCCGGGTGCATCTCAGTCTCTGACGATGATGTTGCGCTGTCAATAACTGTCCTTTGTAAGCCCTAATTTACGTGACACATACATAAGCTCTCTCTCTCTCTCTCTCTCTCTCTCTCTCTCTCTCTCTCTCTCTCTCTCTCTCTCTCTCTCTGTGTGTGTGTGTGGTTTCCTCATATACACATATACACATACAGTGAATGAGTGAGTGAGTTGGGTTTAACGCCGCTTTTAACAGTATTCCAGTTATATCGAGGCGTGTCCGCTTCATGTTGAAGGAAAGCCCGAAGTAATGCAGGTCTCAGACGTTTACCACTTCAGTGAAACCTACGAGCACGGGTATGGTGCTGACAAACCTAGAAACATAATCGGGGCGAACCGGGATCCGAACCCAGGTTTCTGGCGTGCCCAAGGGACGCAACTCTTCACAGCGAATTGCGGCGCCTTAGACGACTGGGCCACCCGTGCCCCCTACACATACAGATACGAGAAATGGCCGTGTCTAGTATATAACCGATTATCCTAAAATTTACAGTTACATTTCTATTTTGTGCGTTCTCTCCCTCTTCATCTGAATCACTCGTGACCTCTCGTGTCATTTCGGAACAAGCGGAGTGGCGACTCGTGCCCCGCTCGAGGCCATCAACTTGACGCCGGCATCGTGCATTAGGGATAGTCACATTGCTGTACCACATCCACCTTTGCTCAGTTAAGTGACAGTGATATTTTCTAAATAAGGCACGCTCGTCATTTACAACTTCTTGTTGTTCTGTTAGGAAAACTGGGATACGCACTGGTACTATAAATAGCTGGGTTTTCCCAAATAGCCAGTGGGGCCTCGGGGAAAAGATGTCATGACTCATGACAGTAACAGCGTATATAGTGGGGAGGGGGTCACAGGGAATCTAGGGGAGGGTCACCAAAAATATGACAGTGTTTAGAGGAGGGTCATAAAAAATAATACACATATTTGGGGAGGGTCCTGAAATATGGGCATTTTACAATAATATATAGTTCTTTAGCATTTTGTCTTTTCGAGGAGGGTCATCAAAAAATGTACATGGACATGGGGAGGGTCATCAATACAGGACAAGCATTAGGGGAGGGTCATTATTTTCAGTTCATTAGATCATTAAATGGAATGTGCGAATGGTAAACGTAAGTTTGGGAGTGCAAGAAGACCCAAGAGAAGATATTCTGGGGTAACAGATTTCATAGGTTAGGCGAGAAATCTACGTTGTCATCGAGCACATATTTGTGATCTGCCATATAGAGAACGACGGTACAAGAATGACAACGCAAGCTGAGAAAAACACTTTGACGCAAGACACCAACCCTTTGTTCGTCAAATTAAATTTACACTGAAATAATTATCCCAAAAATTATTGGTGTTTAACCAACACAGACATGTTTAAAACACTACGAACAATATTGGCTTCAATTCATTCCGTTTCACATAGTACACCATACTGACCACTATGCGATTGCTTCCCTTATATACTGAATTTGATAAACAGTGCCTTTTCCACAGTAAATGAGCACAGTGGCTTATTCAGGCCAGAACTCGGTCACGCCACATTACGCCTGTGGTAAACTGGCGGCACGGGGGCACCAGTTACCTCTTATTCGTGTGTACAACTTTCTACGAGTGACACATTTCAGGTTTACATAAAACTAAAACTGAACAACTAATAAGATGCCGGGAATTTTAAGCACCAGTAGACCAAAATAATATGTTATTAACAATTGTTTAAAATAATTATAAAAATATGTACTTTCTACTCATTTGCCCATAAGTCCGATAGACTTTCAGAAAACTATTACAAAACTTCATTACCATAAATATTCCAGGAGAGTGTCTGCCAGTCTAGCAAGCTGTTAGGAGGCCTAAATGTGACAAAGAAAACGAAACTGAGCTTTGATGCTCATGAAGATTATGGGGGGCACGGGTGGCCCAGTCGTCTAAGGCACCGCGATTCGCTGTGCAGAGTTGCGTCCCTTGGCCACGCCAGAAACCTATGATTGTGGGTTCGAATCCCCGATTATGTTTCTAGGTTTGTCAGCACCATACCCGTGCTCGTGGGTTTCACCGAAGTGGTAAACGTCTAAGACCTGCACCACTTCGGGTTTTCCTCCCACATTAAGCGGACACGTCGCGATATAACTGGAATACTGTTAAAAGCGGCGTTAAACCGAACTCACTCACTCATGAAGATTACGGATTTGTAAGCAATGATATCTAATTTGTCTGCGCATTCGTTGACCTTGATGTGTGGTTTGCAAGTAACTTCCCGTTCCTTTGTGTCCTCTATGTGCTTCAGAAGGAGTTGAGGTGCAGCATGAACCTGGAACCAGCAGGGCAAGTA